CTATTTTTGTTGCCATTGCTATTACTGATCTAGAGTGTATAAGAGCTCATTGTCAGTCTAGAACACAGAAATACTTCAGCACAAAATAAAATCAATTTAAAACTTCAGTTACTCAGTCATCTTTATTCATAAAGATTATAACAACAATGTGCAAAAACATTCAGCAAGAGATATAAGGAAACTACTCCTGTGCAGCTCGGTTGGGTGAAATGTGTACAGATGTTTCCTATATTATAGGTTATATACATAAATCAAATTTCCTATATAAAGCTAAATTTGGGAGTTGGGGAGGAGACATTTGAATATTAATTTAATTTTAAAGATGCAGATAGGACTTTGTGCAATGTATTTTTGTAAATGTTTTTCAAAATATTTATCTTTGGTAGTGTTTCTTTTGCTGCCACCAAATTGGTAAGATGCTATTGAGATGTTTAGAGAGTTTAAATTTTTAAAAGTGCACCTGATATCTCAGATGAATAATAAACAGCATATTTCTTTTCTCAAAAAAAAAATATATAAGGAATCTACTATTCTTTGTGAACTTTAATTATCAACTCTTTTAACCACCTCCAAAGACATTTATACTATTTAGGCAACATAACAAAGACAAAAATTAAGCAAAATTCTGGCCCAAAGGGTCTCCCCCCAAAAAGGGAAAGATCCATTCACAAAGGATACAAAAACTCAAAGTAGATGTGTTACTGAATGAAATCCACAACTTTTAACACTAACCCTAAGATTAGATTTCCTTGAAGGAATAAATGCCTGCTCAGGCATTTGGCATTGAAGAAGATATGGAAAACAAGAACATGGTGACCAGGAAGGGGCAGGTTTTGTCCATGACCTGTTTTGTTCTATAAACAATAATTATCTGAATAATTCTAAAAGCAGCACCTCCTTTAGGAGAAACACATCTTTTTACTTATCAACAAAACCATGTCACTGAACCAGCACTGATGTGTAAACGCAAGTTACGGCAGTTGCACACCATTATTTTTAGTAGTGCTTAAAAGAAGACTAAAATGCAAAACGTAGGGCTGTTGGTTTTCAATATAAAAACAACAAAAAAAAAAATAGTAAGGTGATCGCCATATCACATCTATAGTCTTCCAACTATAAAAACAACTCTTCATGAAAGTGAGTGGTCAATTTTAAAACACACACAACTAGATTCAAAATCAAGCAATACAGATTCAAGAAACATTTCAACTACTTCTTTTTTTAACAACAAAAAACTTATTTAAAAAATTTTAAAAATCTAGTTTTATCATTTTAGAACTACCAACCTAAGATATTCAAGGTTCTCTTAAATATCTTTGGAGGCTTGATGAGAGTAATTTGACACTCTGAACCCTGAAATTATTCCAAAAGCCACTAACCAGATGAGTGACATATTAACAATTACTTCAACCTAGGCAGTAATGAGTACATTTTACTTCTTCTGCTCTTTGCTATACACTGATGCAGAGAATAACAAATTAAAACTGTGACTGAACGCAACATCATTTACACCTAAGTAACAGCCACAGTTTGTGTTTTCCCTGACAACTGGTGTTTTTGACTATGACAAAATGAAAGAAATTTAAAAAGTTATTTTGGGGAAAGAGGTTAAAAAGTACTTTTAATAGCTTGGAAGCAGAACAGTCCTTTAGAAATTAACTACATTTGATCAGCTGTCATACAAATGCTCAAGATTTGCACCATTACAATTAACAAGGGGGGCAAGCTGACAAAGAATCACGGGTGGGCTTTCTGGTGAGCCGCACTCTAGATGCCTGTAAAAGAAGACAGGCAGCCATGCAGGAGCTCGGAAGTGTTCACCAGCAACCAAAATACCCTACCACACTTGGCCCACAAGCAGGGTGAGGAATAAAGCACAGCAATTTGATCACATTCCCACAGCAGTTTTAGTCATTACCATAAGACACACTAGTTAAAAACATGATGAAAAATGCCTGAGAATCTACTAATACATCAAAAATCATAAAGTGGAACCATTACCTTGCAATAGAACTATTTAAAAAGTCATCAATCAAAACAAAAGGCCCAAATTTATCCAGACTAATTAAGAGAAATTCAAAAATAATTCTAATTACGTTTTTAAAAATTTTAAAGCACCTACTTTCCTGTAGGTAGTCCACCTTATTTTAAACACTAACTTCAACCTAAAACAATATACTGCTCTCATTTCCTTGAATTCAGCTCAATGCATTCAAATAGGCTCTAAAATAAATGGCACCTCCATAAATCTGGACATTACTCTGATTAAGAAACACAGCTTCGCACAACAAACCCATCTAAAATAAGCATGTATATGAATCACTTTTATAATTATCCTTATTTAAAATCCATGCTCTTCTCTTGAGAAGAAATGAATTTTTACTATAGCATGGAAAGCTAATCACAGTATAAGGCTAGTTAACAACACCCATCCTTTTTCTACATTAAAAATATCTTAACAAGGAAACTTAATGTGTTACCTGAAATTTGTAAAATGCAATGTGTATTTTATCATCCTGGATAAAATATCTACAGCCTCAGTAGTGGTTAAATTGCAGCTATAAAGGAAACTATCCCAAGATAAATGGTTTCCCTATGAGGAGGCTTCATTGCTACACTTCACCTCAGGACAATAAATCAAAGTAACTGCACCTTGTCCTCTGTCCAATGACATCATCAGTCTGACCACATCTTGGGAATCGGGTGCAAAACATATGCTATTTAAGGCATAAAACCATATTACTGCTTTTTGTTCATCAGACCTCCTGCTTCAGGTCTCTAAGGCGGTCATTCACCTGAATATTCTCCAGAAAACTAGTTATTTCCTCCCCTGATCATTCAGGGCCTACTACTGGAAGGGGGGGCGGGATGGAGAGCACGAGTTATTTTAAGTTAGCTTGCTTTTAATCCTTTAGTCGATCAAATCTTAAGATTTTGTTACAAGTTAAACTGAAGACTACTGTCCCACAAAGTATCTGGCTACCACACTTCATGACCTACTGTGATGGAGGGTTTGGTGTTGAATACCATTCCCTGAACACTCACCTTAAGAACCAACACAACATACACGCACACACGCACGCACACACGACGTTGCCCGGGAAAGACCAACAATCACGACCACCGTTTCCTGTGAACAGGAAGAGTGGACCTGCCCTTCCCGGGCCGACTGTCCTCAATCACGTAAACCTGACATTCTCTGACAACTTGACGCCGCGGGGCGGGCGTGCGGAGAGGGGGGTCGCTCAGGGCGGCAGACGCGCTCCCCGCCGCGGCACTCCCCGGCTCCGTGCCCGCCGACCTGCGGGGGACGAGCGCCGAGCGGGCGTCGGCCTCGCGGGGCTCAGCGCCCGGCGGGCACGGGAGCGCGACCGCCGGCTCCGGGAGCTGAGCGCCGGGACCTCGGGGGCGCCGGGCTCCCCCGCTCGCAGGGGCCGGCGCTGGGTCCACGCTCCCGGCCGAGTCCGAGGCCCGGCGGGGGCCCGTCCCCGCGGCCCCTGAGGGTGAGGCGCAGGCGGCGGCGGCCGGGGCTCCGCAGGCCCGCGGGGCGGGCGGGCGCGGGGCGCGGGGGGCGGGCGGGCGCGAGGCCCGCGCATGAGCAATACA